CTTCTACCTCAAATGAAACAAGACCACTGAATAAGGGTCGGTTTTATTAATTAAACCAACTGTAAACAAAAACCACTGCCTCAAACCGGCGGGTTTCTCAAACCAGAGTTGGATTCCTGTTCACCTCCCACAGCAGGAACCCCCTCTCCCAGAGGTACTCTGCACTCCAGGCACTGGCCAGGATGAACGTCTGCAGTTGTGACAATACCTGGAAAGATAAAACACAAACAGACAACACCACAAAGGCAGCCCAAGGAAAGGTGAGAAGGAAATAGGAAAATCAGAAAAGAAAGGAAGAATAGAAAACTGGGAAAAGAAAAAAGGGGAGTGCGGGCAGGGAAGACCTGACTTCTCTGCTGCCCAGGACTGGAAAGGAGTAAATGGCATCATTTGTAACATTTTGCAACTTCCAGTTACCCAGCCCCCTACTGCCTTGGAGAACCCGCCACGACAGACGTGCAAGGCGTTCATAGCCTATCCCATCCAAATGGTGCATTAGACTTCCTTCCCAATAATTCCCCCAATTCCAGTTTGTGAGCTGCTTCCGAACTGTTTCAGTGGCTCACATGGTTTCCCATGTGTTGGAGGTATCTCCCTGAGTTCTACGTTAAAAACCTCTGCCATGAATGTTCTGCACCTTCAGTATCCCAATATCACATGGGTAAGGTCTCTGAGGTGTTTCAGCTGGTTTATAATATTGTACATTTTAAGTTGATTCAGCATTTTCTCCAACTTTGTCACCTTTACACAATATTAATTGAAAAACTTAATCACTTCTTCATTCGTCATAAATGGTTAAAAACAAAGCAGTGACATTTGCTGTGAAAGAAATGGTTAGGGTATGATACCTACCTCTGAAGATTTCCCATTTAATATATCCACCTGTTTCATGAAGGTCATTACTGCATCCTTGTCCGTAATTGTTACCCATCCTTCTAAATAGAACGAGATGCTCCGATGGCATTTTCGCAATTCCTTCTAAGACCTTCCCCTGGATTTCATCCATGAAGGCATTCAAACTCTCCATCTAATATCTCTGCATCTAATAACTGTTTGAGGGGCTTGGTGTGTGCCTGTCTCCCTTACTGACACCTGAAAAAGAACATCTATATATCAAACTGTACTTTTAAAAAATAAACAACGTGCCCCAGACACCGCAGCTTAAAAATATTGCATTTCCCCACATCTCCAAGATTAACATGCTAAATATGCAGATAAGCAATGATTGCAATTACATTTTTATAAATTTCTCTCTGGCCAAACGCTCAGCAAGTAGTCTGCAAGATGAGTCCACCAGCAGGAGAAGATGTGGGCTCCTACTATAATGTCAGTGACTCTTTCCAGTCGTTTTTGGGTGGTGAGGTGGGTCTTCCTGCATCTCATTATTCTCTGGACTGTTTATCTATTTACCCGTCAACTCTCAATCTATTCCAAAATCGAGCAGTATCATTGGGTATCTTATAATTGTATAATTCTCCTTGTTTTATTGAAAAACCTGTAAGTGCACTTCAGCCTGCAATTAATCCACAATTTTTTTTTTGTTTTGAATTTGACAATTTTTATTTAGCCATGTAGCTACATTACAATTGTGCTGGAGGTTTGGATATCTTGATCGCGATTACATACATGGTATGGTGATTTGGTAACATCAGGGTAAACCTTCCAATATTACTTAACAACTTTAGGTACATGAATCCTGCAACTACATGTCTCAAATATTTTGTAGAGAAAGTAAAGTTATAGGGGGGTATAGATAGGGGGGAGACAGAGAGAGGGAGGGGTGGCAAGGAGGTGCATCAGGGGGGGTTTGTGGAGGGATGACCCTTAGGTTCCCAGGTGGTTCGGTAGGGATTCCTGCATGGTGGAGAGCTGGTGGGCGGCAAGTTTCTTCCGTCTTTTGGATCTTGATCTTTCGTGGTCCCAGACTAGGGCTCCCCAGTTCCTCGCCACGGATTTCGCCTTTGTCCGCTGGTAATCATTGTGTTGCGGTATTGTCAGTTTGGTTTAGGTAACTATTCCATATGAGTTGCGCCTTAGCTAATGCGGGCCTCGGGCCAAATTGGTGTTGGTGCATGGCCTCATATGACCAGTTGAGTGCGATTTGGTTTCTTAAATGTGTACGTGACGGTATGTCCTTGGATTTCCAATGTCTCGCTATTAGAATATGTACTGATGCCAGTGTGTGGTACATTAATGCTTGGTGAGCTTTGGGCATTCTTTCGGGGAATATGTACAGCATGCATTGCACAGGGTTTTTTTCCACTTGGTAGCCTAGCATGTCTGATACGATATGTATGGCTTGTGTCCAGAGAGGTGCAAGTGCGGGGCATGTCCACCAAAAGTGGATCATCTTGCCCACTTCTTTCTCACAGCGCCAGCATATGTTTGTGGAGGTGGGCCATATTTTGTACCAACGGTATAGTAGTTTCCGTTGTATTTCTAGGTGTTGGGCGCATGATGTCAGGCCTTTGTGTGCTGAGTAAGCTTTTTTCCATTGTTCTGGGCTTAACTCTATGCCTAGGTCTGTGTGCCATGCCTTTCGGTAGTTTTCCTGAGTCAGTGGTTGGTTGTGTAAGATCAAGTGGTAGCATGAGGAGAGGGACTTGGCGTTAGGCTTGTTAGAAAGGCACATGTTTTCGAACTTAGATGTTAGTTCTTGTGGTACCTTCTCAGGATTTCTGGTTGGATTATGTTTTAGTAGGGACTTGACTTGCAGGTAGGGGAATAGGAATTTCGCGGGTAGGTCAAATTGTTCCTGTAAGCTAGGGAAGGGTTTGAGGTGCTCCCCATCGTACAGATGTAGTACATGGGTGACGCCTTTATCTATCCATGGCTTGTGGTTAAAGGTAGGAATCATCAGGCTTATGGATTGCATTGGGGCTGCCAACGGTATCTTTGGATGAGTAACCAAAGTGTTCCTTACCCCGTCCCATGTGTCTAACAGCAACCGAGTAGTGGGGAGGCCTTGGAACGGTCTTGGTCTCCGAGCGCTATCAGTCCAGAAAGTATGGCGTATGTGACCTATGTTAAGCCAAAAGGCTTCTATTCCTGCCCACTGGGGTATGTAGTGGGTGTCATGTGCAGCTAACATGGTGCTTAGAATCGCTGCCTTATAGTAATGATACAGGTTGGGGATGCCCAGGCCACCGTCTGCGACCCTCCTCTGCAGGACCTTAGCGGCTACCCGGCTCTTTTTGTGTTGCCACGTAAATTTCATAAATAATGCGGTGATCGACTTAAGGTAGGTGTTTGGTAGGGGTATTTGTAGTGTCCGAAAGAGGTATAGCAGTTTTGGGAGCAGTGACATTTTGAATGCTGCTATGCGCCCTAGCCATGAGAGGAACTTCCCCTCCCATGATTTGAGGGTGTTGTCGATGTCTTTTAAGAGTTTAATATAATTTGCGTGAAAGAGATCTGTGGGTTTTTTCGTGAGTTTGAGTCCTAGATATGTTAAATAATCCGACCTCCAGTCTAAGGGGAACGCCTCCTTCAGTCTGTTTCTCGCCTCTTTAGTCACTCCTATCATTAATGCCTGTGTTTTGGAGACATTCAGTTTATAGTGGGAGTGGTGGCCAAAAAGTTCTATTTGTCGCATTAAGTTGGGCATGGATATGAAGGCTGGGTCAAGGTGAGGAGGATGTCATCTGCAAATATGTTTAGTTTGAATTCTTTGTCTCCTAGAGGGATGCCATGGATGTTCGGGTCTGACCTGATTTTGGATGCCAGTGGCTCCAAAGCCAGTACATAGAGCATAGGGGAGAGGGGGCATCCCTGTCTGGAGCCATTAGAGATTTTTATGGTCCGTGACGGGAATCCTGCGTATAGAACTTGTGCCGATGGTTCGTTGTATAGGGCGTCTACTGCTGCCACGAATTTTGAGGGGAAGCCGAATCTGTGGAGTTCCCTGTTTAAGAAGGTCCAGTTGAGTCTGTCAAAGGCCTTCTCCGCGTCAAGGGAGACGAATAGGCCCTCCCTTCCCAGTTTTCTAGCGCTATGCATTAGGTTTAGAACTTTGCGTGTATTATCTGAGCCCTGTCTACCCTTTACGAAACCCACTTGGTCGTCATGTATGAGGTCCATCGCAGCCAATCGTGAGCTTTTATTATTATTTATTATTATTATTATTATTGCCATTTATATAGCGCCAACAGATTCCGTAGCGCTTTACAATATTATGAGAGGGGGATTTCACTATAAATAGGACAATTACAAATAAACTTACAGGAACAATAGGTTGAAGAGGACCCTGCTCAATCGAGCTTACATTCTATAGGAGGTGGGGTGTAAAACACATTAGGACAGGAATTTGCAATCAATTAAGGTGGGCTGCCCTTTAGGAGAGTGCAAGAGACAGGTATGTGAGGTAGGGGTTAGTCTTGGAGGCCATAAGTTTTCCTAAAGAGATGGGTTTTAAGGCACTTCTTAAAAGATGCAAGACTAGGGGAGAGTCTGATGGCGGGAGGCAGGCTATTCCATAGGAAGGGAGCCGCCCGCGAGAAGTCCTGCAAGAGCGAGTTGGCCGTACGGGTGCGGACAACGGACAGAGGTGGTCACGGGCAGAGCGGAGAGACCGAGAAGGGACATACCTATGGATCTGTGAGGAGATATAAGAGGGGCTAGAGTTGTTCAGTGCTTTATAGGTGTGAGTTAGTGCCTTGAATTGACTCCTATAGCACACAGGAAGCCAATGTAAGGTCTGGCAGAGGGGTGAGGTGTGAGAGAACCGGCTAGAGAGGAAAATCAGTCTAGCAGCAGCGTTCATTACAGACTGTAGGGGTGCAGTACGGCTTTTGGGAAGACCAGGATCAGGAGAGGGTTACAATAATCCATGCGGGAAATTACTAGAGCATGGACAAGCTCCTTGGTAGTATCTAGTGCAAGAAAGGGGCGGATGCGGGCTATGTTTTTAAGATGGAACCTACAGGAGTTGGCAACATTCTGGATGTGAGGCTCAAAGGTGAGCCCAGAATCAATTATGACGCCAAGACAGCGCGCTTGCAAGGATGGACTGATGTGAGTACCACAAACTTGAAGGGAGAGCAAA